ACATTTAGAGGCTGACAGGTTACGATCGCGGTATTTCACTCATCTCAGAAAATGTCAAAAAGACAAAGGATTTGGTTAATTCTTCAAAACTGCTTACATTTTAGTTGGTTACCAAATTTCTCAAATTCCGTAAAAAAATGGATTATACATGGAGGTGTCGAAATATATATTTTGAAGAGTCCAACTCCTATGTTATTGTGAATCACCATGAAATATTAAGTTGTCTCAATATACTACGGAAGCATTCAATACTGCAGAGCGAAAAGTTCAAATATCACCAAGGAATAGAAACTACCTTAGTATTGATACTATATCTATAGATAAACATTTACAGTCTCTAATAAGATAGCTTCTGTTTTGAATAAAGTATGTAGTGGCTGTGGCATTAATATAAACTAAATCTTACTGAGTTACGTTTTAGAAATTGTTTTCATATATGTTTAATATAACAAATAGTTGACCTATTAAATACTTTTTCATTTATATCATAATGTGACTTTGGAAGTAGAAAAATCAATCCAGACTTCAAAATCTGCAAATAATGAAACCAGATATCTTTGTCACATATCAAACACCTCTTAAGTTTAACAAATAGTACGTAGTGTCAATAAGCTTGTAGTTCTGAAACAAAAGAATAAATGTATGGAAGATTGTATAACCACAGTAGGTATTTTTGAGAAAACAGTTTAAATGAGCAAAAGTTTAAATGGGCGCATAAGTCACTACTGAAGAAACAGTTTAAAAGCATGAAAGATTGAATGAGTTCAGTAAGGACTTCTGATAAAACAGAATTAATGTGTGAATAATCGTGTGAATTTTATAGCGATTTCTAAAAATACAGAAAAAATGCATGGCAGTATGGGAGAATACAGTAAGGGTTATGAAAAGAACAGAAAAATGCATGGAAAAGTGGGTGAGCACAGTAAGAATTATAATAAAAATAGAATGAATGCATGGAAGATTAAATGAGTATAGTAAAGACTGCTGTGAAATATAACTAATACATGGAAGATTGAGAGAGCACAGAAAAGATTTTTGAATAACAGAAAAAATGCATGGAAAATTGGAAAAACACAATAAGGACTTCGGAAAAAACAGAAAGCATGCATAAAAATTGCGATAGTGAAGACTTCGTAAAGACTTCTAAAAAATTCGAAGACCAAAATAGAGACTTCGGAAAAACAAAACTCGTGTATAGAAGTTTGTGATAGTGAGGACTTCGAAAAAAAGATAAACAATACATAGGGAACAGTAAAGACTTCTAAAAAACAAAATAAATGCATGGAAGAATAAAGAAACATAGTAAAGACTTCTCAAAAACCTGTTTAAGTTCACGTGAGAAACCCGTAAGCACTTATTGGACCACTTTCTGGCGCCCTACAAACACAGAGTCACCTATTTATGAGTTTTCAACCATAAGGAATTGGGAAAACTAGACACAGTTAACTACAAGAACTTATAGCATTTTTTATTGAAATTAAATAGATTAACAAAATTAGCTGCAGAGATGAGATAAATGCTTGAATTTTGTCTGAACTCTACGCAGGTCATTGTGGGTGACACTGTGTTCGGGTCTGCTAATAAATGTAACAATCATAATGCTAATAAAATTCTTTTGTGGACATAAAACCAGATTACAAAATTTTGATCAAACATTATGGATCCGAGTATATAAAAAATAATTCACTTATTTACTAGTAGATACCTAAGTTAGTTTACGATATCAGTCTATGCCTTGTTTTTGGAAAAACATCTTTGCAAAGACGCCATGTATTTGCCTTAATACATAAAAAACTCCATTTATTCCTTTCCTCCCTACACTAAGCTAGACATTTTCCGCATGTCTTTAAGCGGAAACATTTCCGTATGGCAATAACAAACAGCTGTTCTAAGAACAACAACAACAATGCAACGAAAGGGAAAATAAGAACAACTACAAAGCACAAGCAATGAGAACAAATGCCGCATGCCGGTAAATTACAAACGATGGCATAAATAGATTTCCAATAGAATAAATAAAGCAACAACAACAACAATAATAATAATAATAGTCCACATTAAATCCAAATGAAATAAAAAGTTGTTAACAGTTAAATTATTGATAAGCTTACAGTTAGGTATGTTTTTAAACAACTACAATATTTTTTTTTTTTTTCTTCATTGCAATCTACAATTAAACATTCGTAAGCTGTTTTATTTTTATTATATAAACTGCTTTATCAATGTGTCAATCGAAAATTCTTAAGAAAATTGTTGTTATATTTTCAATTCCTGTTTGCATATTTTTTTGAAGCAAATGCATGCATTCATTCCAGCATCCAAGCTCCACACTGGAATGTGGTAACTAACATAAATTACCAACAACTTCGGTATTGACAGCTTACATTATGTAAATAACATGCTTGTAGCTAGCAAAAATACTTTACATTTTACATTGTTGTTATTGCTTTCTCTTTTCACTTTGTTAGCAACATTGCATGCCGTGCTGTTAAATGCTTAACACTGCTGTTAACTTTTACAGAGTTGTAAAATCTTATTGGAGCAAATGCAGCTGTTTTCCATGCATGTTAGTTGTTAATCAGAATTCGTTTGAGTTGGTTGAGTTTCGTCGTGTTGTAAAAATTCCGAGGTTTGCGAAAATGTTTGTTGTTATTGTGCACGCGTGCAATTTGTGTTCAAGTAAAAAAGCTGCAATTTAATAAACAAAATTATTTAAATTATTATTAATAGGAAAAATATTGTGCTTTCAATATATAATTAAAAGAAATTTTTAATATAAAATAAATGCAAAAAAAAAATTTAATATAAAACTACGGTATTCACAAGCCAAAAAGTGCAAATGATGCGGTTTAATTAATTATTTAATATAAAAAAATTTTTTTTAATAATAATATCTTTAAATACATATAAGTGAATTGGTTACAAATATATAAGAAATTATTACTTGCGAAATATAAAATATAAATTAAACAGTTAATATGAATAATACACACAATTTTATTATTTTCCAAAAGAAGTAATTAATATAAATAAACTCTTAAGGCAATATGTTTTATTTTCAAAAAAATAAAAACACAACTTTTCAAAACAGAAAGGGATTTTACGTATAAACAAAACCTACCCCAAGTATTTCCGCAGCCAATTTCACGTATTCTTAAGGTAAGTTTCATTATTGCAATAACCTTTATTTTTATTATCACAATTCAGATGCTTATAACTCCCCCATAAATATTGCTATCATCACCGCATTGTCTATTAAGCACCCTTATTTTCCTTGACTTCTTTACCAGAAATTCGGTTCGGAAAAACGCTTCATTGTGTGTGATTATTGGGGAAGTTTAATTTTTGAAGTGCAATAAAAAATAAGCATCCGAGAATGTACAATCCAAAGATAATTCATTTTAACACATCTGTGCATTTCACATTACACGAATAAAAACATTATTTTTAATTAAATCTACTGAATAATCTTTACAAACGAAATATTCCTATTTTTAGGAATATTATTCCGCTGTGACTGGAGAGATATATTTAAAATTACCAAAACATTATAAAGTAAAAAGAAACCTAGTAATAAATATGTCAATTTCTACAATGAGGCACTTTAGAGTGGACCCCGACATAACCAGTAATTCTGTTGCCAATAAGAGAAGTATTCGTTTAAAACGTACTATGTCAAAAAAAATCAGATTCGGAAACTAAAGGGATTGCACGATTTTTAAATATGAGAACATTCGTTTAACGAAACTTTCAACATCAATTTTAGAATTTATTTATTTAAAAAAAATTACTTAGCAACTTAATTACTATAAAATATATTTCGATGCACTAATTGATAATCTGTTGGCTACATTTGAAAATTCCAATGGTGTTCTTTGATAATGGGTGGACAGTTTTCACAATTTCAAAAAATTTTATACACTTGTAGTCTAAAAATTATGTAGGGAACATTAACCAAACAGATAGTTCCAAACACCGCTGATGATGAATATTTGGAGATATTCGAAACAACTGCTTTACAGCTCAAGAACTTAAACAACTTTCTTTGAGATTTAAAAATTTTCTCACTAATGTCACCTTTTTCTGTTCAAAATACATCAAAGAACATAAAATTCTACATCTCAATAATAATTTGAAAGACCTCCTTCACTGTTATTTGGAATACACTTTTAACTTGATCTTTTGAAAAAGACAGAAATTAAAAAAGTTATTATTGATGTAAGGCAATAAAGTCAAAAAATTAAAAATCTCAACTTAACTTTATTTTTTAGAAAATATCATCTTCAACCAAACCACAGAAAATTAAATCACATATATACATAGGTATAAATCATCCACCTTAAAGCCAAAAGATTTCAACCTTTGTATTCAAGACAAGTCTTCACTTTGAAGACTCAAAAACTAAAGTTCCAACTTATCTTTCAAAAGATACTAAACTATAGTAATGTACAGAAACAATAAATATATATCATCCGCTTTAAGGTCAAAAAATTTCAATCCAAAAAGACTTAGAAACTTGTTTTCTGAAACATATCATATTCTACCAAATGATAGAATATGAAATATTGCATAAATATCCGTCTTAATAGAAAAAAATAAATATTTCAGCCTATTCATTAAAGGAATGCAATCGTATTGAATCGTATTTTATATTTGCGGGTGGCAGTTTTGGGATATGTCCACCCGCAAATAAAAAATCATTCAAAACTCGTAATTTAGGAGGCCTAATTTTTCTCTTAAAAGATAGTTTCCTCTTTCAAATTGTTGATAATTAAATACAAATCATCTATCTTAAAGCTAAGAAATAAGATGTCTTAATTTAAAACCAAGTCAATATTTTTTAGGCTCAAAAATTTGAAGTCACGGCTTCGGTTTTAAAAATTATTATCTTCTAACAA